ATTTATTCACTAAATTAGGTCGGTATATTTCCTTGCAGCCAGTCGCATTTCTTCAGTAAGAAATCCTTCCTGCAAACATAGGCACACAGTCAGAGTACCTCGGGATTTGCTTCACTGTATCTTTAAATTAGTTAGTTGCTATGGCAACGACCTCCAATTAAACTCTGATTTTCTTTGCTAAGTGCGATTTCGTACGTTGCAGTCTGTTTCTTGTGTACAAAGAGCGCTGCCTCGACACTATCCTACCTTCCCACACTTGCGAACGTGGCTTTAGAACATGTACTCGCCTTTGGTTAGGTGCATTTGAACGTTCAGAAGGATTAAATATGTTTAAATTCCACTTCTATCTTTCGACGATGGCCTGTGGCTACGTAGCCCGTGAGGACACAATCTAGAGGTCGGATAGCAACACGTTCTGTCATCATATCGGCTGTGAAGGTGCAGTTATTAATCATTACACCAGAATATATCGCCCCGTCGCCATGTTATTTTTTAATTACTAGAACGTTGCATGCTACCCTACAAAACGTCTAGTGTTGTTCCCACCTCAGAAGTTAGAGGATGGTTGTCATGTCGCTTTTGTTGGTGAATTTAAGTTGGTAAGTGTGAAGGTATGATATTATGTTCATACCGAATTTCATGAAAAACGAGTAAGGAACTCTCTTTATGCGAAATCTGAAAAATGTTTATTTTAATATGTACACTTTTTTTGGCAAAAGAGGTTGTTTGTACCCCCCCCCCCTCTGTCCTCTTAAACGTCGGACAGGCATCAAGTCTCCATGACGCAGTAAATTCTAGAATTTTAATTGTTAAATTTTTAAATAACACAGTGGACAATTTTCAACCAGAATATCGCAAAAATGCTGACACACCACTCTCAAAAAACTTCCAAACGATACCTGAGGATTTTGTCATATTTTATAGCCTAGTGATACATTTTGAATACAAGTCTCCGAAATATTATTTACAGGCCTTGAAATCCATCTGCCGCACGTTTTAAAGGAAAAGTTAAGTAAATTATTTCAGACGGATATAAACCCATCAATAATAACTAAATATAAATAAGTTGCAAGAGTTATAATTTCTTATACAATAACCCCGTGCCTCAAAGTTCTTGAGAAGCTAAATATGACGCCCAGCTAGTCAAGGAATTGTTCGCATGAAGGTTCATTACCACGTTTACTATAGCGCGTCACGCGGTCTCTATTATGATCCAGATCAATCCAATCCCATTTCCTTAAGATCCATTTTAATATTATCCTCGCATTTACGCCAAAGTCTTCTGAATGGTTCAGACTTTCCAACCACAGTTTTTCACGCATTTCTCACCTGACCATGCACGCTACATGTACCGTTTATCACATCCTTCATGATTTAACCATCCTAATTGTTTATGAGATACTTAGAATAGTAAGTGTTCGATTTTATGCTAATCTTTTCTTGTGACACTTATCACAGCGTTTATTATAAAATAGTCCTGGAAATGTGTGTTTGATTGACCTCCTTTAGATGCTATTTGTTTCCACTTAAGGTGTCTTCCCATCAGGCTCTTTCAGGTACCTTCAATTAAAACCTCTTTTCAGTTGTTTTACCATGGCTTAGTGTTGTATCGCCTGTGGGATGGCAGAATACACATCGAGACTAGTAAAGTTCCCGGCAAACACAGCCTCAATCCTCACCATCTTCTTGGGGGCACGCCCCGTTCTAAGGTGATGCTCAACTGTTTCAGGTGATCTTCACAGACTGAAACGAGTGTCTGCCGCTGCTGAATGTGTCGAGTAGAAACTGACTTTTGTTGTCACATCCACAATCTTGCATCGGTTTTAATACGATAGTGTTTCGTGGGCGGTGGAGGTTAGAGGCCTTACGAGCTGTTAACTTAGAATGGAATTGCGTGTGTTCACAACCCCGTGGAGCGCCTATTAAAATCATTCTCTCCGTCAACCTTTCAGTAGGCATGATATCGAGAATGAATAAATCGATTCAATTGAATTTGATGTTATTGGAAAATATTGTAATATTTGTCTAACAATTTTAATTTTAATTTAGATCGGATAATTTTAACGGTAACTTTACACGAGATCTTATTAATTAATTAATTATTATTAAATAATTATTTATAATTATATATATAATTTTATTATGTATTTATTATTTTTATTTTATATATATAATCATATATAAAAAACCTATCGAATAATTAATTAATAATTAAATATTAATTAATCTTATTAAGGTCTTATTAATGTAAGCTCATCACAGTAGGTCATTTTGCAAGAAAACAATTTTGTTGTTCCGGTAAAAGATTGCAATTAAAACAAAATAAATTTCTTACTGTGTTGAGTCTAGACTGCGTTGAAATCATATTACTTCTATTCTTTTAATTTAATGCTCTATTATAATATGACTTTGAAACGTGTATTAAAACGGCAGGGATGTTAACCTTGTTAGCCGTACTTATCCGGCTAACACGTTCAAGAACTTAAAGTAAGTTCTCTGCTCTACTTTCGTGGTTCAGTGGTACTCCATACACTGAAACTCACAGAATAACCGATCAGATAGAATGCGTCGTTAGGCAGCTCGAACCATCCAGACGTTGTTAGCCAGCTAGTTGAGGCTTACATTCGTAGCGAACGTAACAAAGCTAACAACGCCTGGATGGAGCTGACGAACGATGCATTTTGTCTTATCGAATCTGCTGAGTTCCAGTGTAAGGAATACCATTAAACCACGAAAGTGAAGCAGAAAACTTCAGCCGGACAAACACGGTTAAAATGAACGCTCCACTGCTGTATAATACAGTAAAACCCCTGGAGTTGGACACCCCTATATCCTGGACACTCCTTTATATTGGACACTTTTAATTGGAACCGGCGGATATCCTATAATTTTACATGTCCACAATACCCTATATCTTGGACACCCATTTTGTTGTAAGTTGGACAGGTTCATGCACTTAACTTCGATGCTTTTCAGGGAAACTTTTTCAGTTACATATTTTGTTATTTTGAATTTCTGACTGACGATTGCCTCCTCTCTGGAGGATTATCTTATGGACATTGAACCCATCATTGGAATGCATTGCAAGTGTTTAACTGTTCTTTTGCTGAACCCTTAACTGGCCTACACTATTGCAGAAGACACAATTTTAACTCCGCTTGCATTTGAGTTCAGACTGTGTTAACAGAAATGGAATTTTTCTTTTTGCGATGGGGAATTTTCCCTCTATCTTGGACACCTCTGTAAGTTGGACACATTTTCGTGGAACCACAAGCGTCCAACTTAGAGAGGTTTTACTGTGTATGAAGTTCGGTCTTAGTATTGACTCGTAACGAAGACGTAAACTGGCTGAGATTCGAACCGGTTACCTGTGACACACAGCCTTCTCGATCAAGATGAATGTATTCTAACCCCAAACCACAAGCTTCTGTTTATATTCTGGAGGCGTAAAATGTTTGTTGTCCTTTCGTTTAGTCACCTGTGTGCGACGATTAAGCCAACACAAAAGGACCGATAATATTTTGCGAATGTCCGTTTCAGATGGATAAATATTTCTTGTCTGTCTGTCTGTCTTTTGGACACCGAAACATCAGCATCGCCAGAAATAAATAAAGCTGACAAGTTGCCTTGAAGCACAACTGCCAGGGTGGGTGGTGTTATGTCCATCACTGCGGGTGGATAATCGATTGGCCTTGTCTTCGGGTAATGACAATTGAGACACGTCTTCAGTCTGCAGTTCGGGCCTCCGAATGCTTCGTAGGCCTTCCGACCGCCATGACAAATTTATTATGTAATAATAATGATTACAACAACAATTTATTAATGAGAAACGCAAACAAAATTACAATCGGAGAACGTGAAGGGAATTCACCACTTGGGACACATAAGCCTGGATGGGAGGATAATATTAAAATGTATCCGAAAGTAAGAGATTTGGAAGCTGTGGATTCAGCGAGCGCCCATAGTCGTCAGTGGTAGTTTCTTGTCAATCTGAACAATTTTCAGCTTCTCAAGAAGAACTCTGTTCTGTGGAATTGTTATTACTGGTATTATTATTGTTTTATTGGCATTATAATTATTGTGATTATTGTAATTATGGAAATTGTCTCGATAGTTGTCAATTATATGAAATTAATTGTGAAGTTTAATACGTGGTCTAGTGTTAAGAGTGTGTGTGAAGTTCTTGGGAGAATATTTGGACTTAAGTGAGAAGTAACGAAAAGATCACTTGATTTACTTAATATTGTGAGAGTGTTTAAGTTAAGAAGAATAAGTTTGGCCTGGATATATAGCACACATAACGCACCGGAACATTTTAAGGGAAGGGACCAAGTTTGAGATCTACGAGTAGGTTTTTAGAACTCTCTAAATGTATTTTGGAGGAGGAAAGTGTGAACGAAATTCAAGTCACTAAGGCGGGGTTTTGTGAAGACGGTTATGAACATTGGTTTTCCATATAACCAGTATTTTTTTTAGAAGTAAGTGACTGTCAACTGTCTGAGCTGTGGAAATGGGGAACGAATACATTGTCAGATGTACTAGAATATAATTAAATGAATTTTTATTCTAAGTAATTTTCCGTGTACTTTGGACTGTAGACTTTAGTGATTACTTGGAGCATAAACAGAAGTTTCATTAAAATTTTAATATGAAATTACTTTTATGAAGGTGATACGAGATTATTGTAACCCATGGGGATGCCAGAGGCTCGCGGAATATAATTTGGGTACCACTGATCTTGATGTGACTCCAGGTTTACAAGACTTATCGTATTCGCTGCACAGTTTTGAGAATAAGTAGTTTGTTGAAATTATAGGCAATTACCGGTTACGGATGAATGTCCTGCTTTCACGTTTCTGCTGTCCTCCGAAACGTCGGTAATTTTTCCATGCACCCAGAAGACTGTGCATTGCAGTGATCTCTACATAAACAACCATTCATTCAAGAATTAGAGCAGAATCTTGTTCAGGTGCTTGATGAACTGAATCTTCTCTTTGCAGATCCCTGAACCAGACTCGTCGGTGGTTGGTGGAGCCCTGGAATGAACTATGGATCAGAGTGTAACCGAATTATTGGAGCAAGTTGATTCGTGTTTTCTCAGTGGAAACTTTCACGAAAATGGTGATGTATTTTTAAGCAGATTAGTGACAGCGAGATATTATCGTGCGCATTGATCTTGAGACAGTTCTGTTAATCATGCTCAAAGGAACACGAAGTGACATCAGTGTTCGTCTTCTGTCGGCGATCGCGAGGCAGTGATTTAAATAGTCATCATGTAAGTTGTATCTAAGTCACCGTGATGTTTGTTCGTCACTTGTTCAGATTACACTCACACGGCAGAATACGTATGACAAAATTTTATTTCTTGAAGCCTATCGTACTGTTTCCCAGACTGTTTTGACCACTTGAAATATTCTGGGAATCCTACGCTGAAAATAGAAATATGAACTCGAGTTATTTGCGCTGAACTGAACTTACGCCATTATTCTATCTTTTGTTTTCCGTGGTACAGATAGAAACTGGCTGTCGCCGTGCAATCATGTTGTCCTTAGTACCGGAGAAACAGTTTTTCAGCCGAGGTTGGGCATCGTATGTGGCATTCTGTGGACCATTTTTGAAACTGGGGAATCTCTGGGGTAGCGAAGCACAGCTTGAAAATCAAAACGTTTCCCATCTATCGACATAATAATGTCTGTAAATTATACTGGCCCGCCGCGTAACAAAAAATAACAAATTAAAAGCCCTTGTTGTATGTGGACGTCTCCAGTCTGGCGGCCAGTACTGATTGGTGTAACTTCACAATCGTCACACAAAGGTAAATCGAACGATATACTAATCGGAAACATTATTTATATCTCGAAAAATTACAGAACGTAGAGGGCGCTGATAAAAACAGAGACAGTGGATGACAGATGAAAGCAAAAATATAAAATTTATTTGTTATAGAATCATTATTACTTGACTGTGGATTACTGAAGTAAGTCGCAAATAGGTTAAAGGCCGTCTGTCCCTGAAGAATGTATCTGTCCTCTAACCAATAATATAAATTCATATTTTTGCTGTTGAAATTTGTTAAAAAAACCTCTGGATGAAGAAACGTAAGGTTGCTTCACGTACCAAAGCTTCATGATAAGAATGTTTAGAGGGACATGGATTTAAAAATCCACGAATTCCAAACCTTGGAAACGGATAAGCTGACCGAACGTCAGTGTCATGTAGACAGCGTGCCTGCTTTGTTTTTAGGAGTTCACGGAGATTGGCTCTTTCGAGGCTCGTGGTTTTTCTCAGTCCGTATAGACAAATATTTGGAGGAGTTTTAAGATGTGGCATAGCGTGTTCATTTCTCATCCTTCGCATGTAATCTATCATTTAGTCATCCTGCCGTTCGATACTGTACTTCTGAAAACCATAAAATAAATTAATGTCAGTGCTTTGGATGGTTACCACCAATGAAAGTCCCTGGTACAGATTGAATACAAAGTTGCAGTAGAGGATGTAGTTAACCTGGAGTCGAGCCCCGGCCTTCAAATTAACGGCTTGTCACTTTACAGAGTAGCCGCCATGGCTTCTAAAGAATAAAGTCAGGTGTTACGAAACTGCGGTAAGCATTTTATGTTTCTGTTGAATTGTGTCTGTGGTCACGTGACGCCATTAACACGTCTGGTTATTGAGCAAATATATTTATTCTGAAGATCTGGATTTTGTGTAGGTGCTTGTATTTCTGCCGGAAGTCCATTAGCAGTGATTTCACACGAAATAGTTACTGCGTGATGAGTAACCGGAAGTTTTTGTCTAAATCGAACGTTTTAATGCGACATAATAGTTACTGTCTCGCTTTGAAGTTAGATTAGTACCGATTTAATCAATTTTCGTTAATATCTGTCAGATGTGGCTTCAAAATGAGATGATACCAGTATATAAATAATTTAATTTGAAAAAAATTGTAAATATATTGACTTTAATTAATATACCAGGGTTATAATAGTCATATGTAATAATTGAGCAAATTCTCTTATAAAAGTGCAGGTCAAATGGAATTGTGTCACTGTTGCACTATTGAATTTCTTCTGCTGTTATCAAACCAAAAATGAGAGGAAAACAGAACATTTATACATTCAGTGAAGCATGCAGTGCAAATGAGGTAATTTTGTAGCAGGTTTTAAGCCTAATATAGTCACCTCAGAAGTCGGTAGCTGGAGTGTGAAATCACTGTGAACGGACCCACGTAATACAAAACCGCGAACTGATCATGTCAGGATGTCTTGTACTTACTCTTGAGTGACCGGCGAGTATGTTTTTGTGCTCCTTATACGAACTTAGTTGCATTAATTGTTTTCTGCAGAATATTTTCATACTTGAACATATTCGCGGGTTGTAAAATTCGCTGTCGCCGTTGTAACCAGTAAAGACAACTTGCAAAAATTTGCCTCTAAATTTCACCGATCGCAAATCTGACATAAAAAGTGAAATCCTATGGTTTCCGAATTTATAACTGGTGGTTGCTATGCAATTACAGAAGGTCCAGAATCCATTGAAGAATTACTGAGAGAATAATTTGTCTCTAAATTAATTATTGACAATTTATTTATACAAAAATGGTCCAGTGGATTATTCAAATAGAAATAGCCTAACTTTAACTTACGTATATAAGCATTTGATGTATTAAGGTAATGGCAGCTGGTAGTAGTGAACTTTCAATACGAATGACCCGGCAGAACTAAAGTATTCTTCAAACATACAAGCTTTATTAGGATAATCCTTCTTATTAAACGCTTGATTGGAGTGTCGTTCTGTTTTCGGACAATTACAGTTTTGTTGGCTAACAAGAATTGTTTTTATATATTTGTGTTTTGCTTTCTCTGAAACGTCTGATGAAACTCTTTGAACGTTTTCAAGAATATCATATATGTATGGTTTGAGGTTTTCACAGCAGTGAGCATGAAGATTTCTGTCTTCTGGGTTGTTGAGACGTGTAGTATGGTAGATGTTTACCAACGTTTCAGAGGTCATGCTGCCTCCGTCATCAGGGCGATCGCAACAACCCAGAAGACAGAAATCTTCATCGCCCTGATGATTGAGGCAGTATGACCTCCGAACCGTTGGTTAACATCGACCAGACTACACAGCGCAACAACCCAGAAGACAGAAATCTTCATCGCCCTGATGATTGAGGCAGTATGACCTCCGAACCGTTGGTTAACATCGACCAGACTACACAGCGCAACAACCCAGAAGACAGAAATCTTCAACATCATATATGCTTTTGAAATGGGTTCATGGCATTTACTTCTAAAAGAAGATTAAAAATTAATAAATTCACTTGGCTTCCCAACAAGCAGCAAACACCAGTCGTGGCCGAATTAAATTCAATGTCTGTGTTCGTAGGAAGGAATGCGTGTTGTTGGATTAGTAGGTCTAAAAATCGTGTAGTTTGTGGCTTAATTCAAGCCATAAAAAGGTAAATAAATACTTATAGACTGGAACGAAATTCTACCTCGAATGTGGTTACTTTGACATGGGCAGTCCACAGACCAGAATGCCTGTCGTTCGTTTATGCACAGTCTGTTTCCAGAAGGGACGAAGACATGCTTGCACCGCCACTCAACTCCGGTAACACTGAATTTACGCAGAACTTTGAAAGGAATTTATGTACATATGTAGAGTATTTTTTGATTATTTCAACAGTGTTTGGCAGCTGTCATTTGTTTCATGTCTTCAGTGTAAAATCTTTGATTAATTTATCTTATTCTTTCTTTGGAATTATCTTTGAACTTATGGTTCTGTGCGTGTCAATTGCAAGAATTTGTCTACAAGAAGTGAGCGATGTTTGTGCCCTCTATCGTGGCAGTTCAGGAAGGAGATGTTTTGCTGTCCCGTAGAGACTGAGGGGACCCGAAAACTCACCACATTTTCTCCTGAATTTAGTGTGTCCCGAATAAAACGCGCCATGTCAATGGTTATACTTTTTATACAAAATTTTGGTAGTATCTAAACTCAGTAAACAGCTATCGATGTATTAAGTATGAAACAAACAAAAAAAATCATAATAATTTTGAATTCTGATCGAAATTATATTTAAGTTGTTTTCGTAACATAAAAAAGTTCTCTACATGACGACATTTTCGGTTGTAATTCGCAATAAAAATACTGAATGCACGTGCGCACGCAAAATTTCGGGATACATTCGGAGGAGAAAATACTGCAAATTATGTTCGGGTAAATACGATTTTGATATACCTGTCTGATAAGACGAGGCGGGATACATCGGCCAGTTGAGTGAGCTTCTTCTGTACCATGGAGCCACTCAGCCTGCCCAGAGGATGTATTGCTGATTCCCTGCAGGTCGAACAAAGTAAACCACGTTTAAAATAGGGTTAACAAAACATTCACTAGGTAGAAATACGACAGCTGTATCCAGTTTAACGACTTGAAGTCTTTCTGAAGCCGTGTTTATCTTAACACGCGCACTTTCTTTCAAAAGTGTTACACATACCTTTTTGGTCGTGTGAGAGGATTTTATAAAGTTTCCTTGTGAAAACCAAGTTTCGTCACATTATACTGTCGTATAGATAACTGCTGTAAAGTACAAATAAAACCATCACCAAGTGACGATAGAATTTTATTTTAATTATTTTTATAGTATTGAGTGCAAGAATTATCTGGTTTAATATGACTGTTCAAATTACAGACGTAACGAAAACAATCCAGCAAAACATCCCCTACGGAATCGCCCCCTTAGAAGGACACTGTTGAATTTAACAATAATTCATTTCTGTGGAATGACAATTTGCAATGTGACTGGAGAAATGGTGTGTTATAACGTATAAGCCGGAAAAAAAAACACTTTCAAAATATGGCACATTTCTGTACAAATATATATATATTCTGAAAAAAAATAGACTGTAAGTTTTATTTTGTATAAAGTTTCAGATGCCATCGATGTATAAGAACTGAAGTGCTCACAAGACGAACTGGGAGTGACGTAGTTGTAACATTATAGTTATGATTATAGCGTTGATTAACTTCAAACGTAAAGCTTCTTTAAAAAAAAAACATGAACCTGATTATAATTGTTGTGTAAATATGCTGTTGTTTTAAACAAACATCCTGCTCCAGAGTTATTAATATATGTTATTATAATGTGTAATAAAATAAACAAGTCAAGATACTATATTTACAAGTGGGTTGAACGTACGAGTATTTTGATTCACAAAGTTCCACGAATCGGTGGTGCTTGTCAGGACAGTTCACGATCTGCAGGGGGGGTGGGGGGGGGAGAGAGTTTTTTCTGCGTGATTTGGGCATGCGCAGTGGTCCTCTTGTGTCAGGATGTGATAAGATTCGTGAGTGATTGGTCAGCTCTGAATGGGCCTAAGAGTTTTCAGACTTTTGTTAACATCAGCTGTAGTTTGAAACGAAAAGTAATTACTGCTACTATATTTACGAAATGTTGGAAACAAAAAAAAAAAAGTTTCTTAGAATGTGTTTATAAGAAATAGTTGCCATGTTAAAGTACACGGTTGCCTCAGCGGAAGAAGGAAAGAAGTTTTAGTGAATAAAACTATTATTGAAAATGAAAACTGGCGAGTGTTATTTCCCCCCCCCCCATTTTTTTTTTAATTTATTTTTTCTTGTTTTTATGTAAGTTATTACATGCTTCCAACCGTGATTCTTTCTCACTTCCTCCTTTATGCTATCATGAATTACTCCCTTCGACATGTTCCGATTTTGAGTTTCATTGTTTCGAATTTGTGTTTGTGTAAGTTGATCTAATTGTATTTAAATGAAGTTAAACGTTTCGATCCCTTCCGGCTTGTCCTCAAAGTAAAATTCAGATTAATAATAATAAAAAAACATAGTCATCCAGTTCAAATGTCTGCATTGGGTTTTTGAGTGGCAAGTTCTCATCTGTTGCACTAACTAGTGTTTGATTCTTTTGCCCCTAGTGCATCGGTTTCCAGCACAACTTTACATTTTCTGCGGGCATGGCGGGTATTGGCTCTGTATCCGTGGGATCATAAGTCCATCCACGTCTGCTAATGTTTTCGGGTTGCTTAGGGCAGTGGTATTCAACCTTTTTTGTTCTCGTACCCCCAGATATAATTTCTCTTCAACTTTGTACCCCCAAAGTTGGTGTATAATTCAGGTTATACATACTTCTCACTAGCAAGTTGGGCTTGGAGATGAAGAAGAAACTAGTGAAGTGTTACGTATGGAGCAGAGACTTGGACACTCAGGAAGAAGGAACAGAAATACCTGGAGAGTTTTGAAATGTGGTGTTGGAGAAGAATAGAGA